TGGATGTTGGGAACACAATGCTCTTCCCAACCATCTGCTTCCACATATCCCTTTTGCCTCCCTGGGAGCACCTCCAGCCTGGGGCCAACAGGGCAACCTCCAGCCAGCGAGGCTCTTCTTGGGACACAGACGTTACATTCCTTCCCATTTGCCCTCAACATCCATGGATCTGCCCTGCCATGCCCACAGCAGATGGATCCGGGCACAGCACTGCCAGAGCCACCCCTATTTACCAGGTTATTTGCTTCCCCTTTCTGCTCCGGCACATTTTGGCATCTGCAGGTGAGTCCAGCACTTATCCGATATCATTTTTCAGCTCAGTGAGAAACACAGCAAAGAGCAGCAGAGCAGCACCGAGGATCCCCCCACAAACCACTTCTGATCCATTCACCACGGGCTCCCCAGCGCTGGCCCGGCGCTGGATTTTGTCAGGCTGGGATGCACAATTAAGTCGAACACGACACAGAAGTCGAAGGACATCAAGTCAAGTCGTCTTTATTAGCTAACCCTGTGAACTAGTAAGAAAAATAGCCTGGAGGTTGCTTGGCAAGAGCAGGATCTGACACATCTGCAGGTTTGAGATGGCAATAATCCCCCCATCCTGCCTGATCCAGGATGGAGAAGCATGTGCCATACCCTTGTCTTCATCCCGTGATGTCCTCCTGTCATCCATCAGCATCACTTCAGCATACGGAGAGGATTTAAATACCACTGCGTGGAGAAAGGAGTCTTGGAAAAGGTTCTCCTCCAGCCCAATGGATTGATGAGCCAAGGAGAATGGGATCCTGGGAGAAGGCAGCATCCGTGAGGGAGCCCAGGAGGGGTCCAGACCTCCCATCCTCAAAGCCAGGCATGTTGGGGACAAAGGCAGGTGGCAGGTGACGACACCTTGGCACAAGGAGAGGGTGGCAGGAGCAAACACCAGGGGCTGGGGTGTCGTGCTGCCCATTTGGGGTCTCCAGGGATGGGGAAGGGGGTACTGGTGAGCACAGGCTGCGGGCTGTGGCTGCCATGAGAGGTGATTAAATGGGCTCTACCTTCCCTCCAGCCTTCCCATCCTTCCTGGAGCAAATTGAGACCATTCCCCATGGAGGATCCCACGGCAGCTGCCCCTGAGTCACCGGCTGCTGGTCACGGTGAGTCACTGCACACCCAGAGCTGGAAGACATTGAAGCATCCCAAAAAAAATGACCATGCCACCCTCACATTCCCAGCTGTGGCTCCCCGGAGGGCCTCATCAGCCATAAACCATCCCGGCTGCCAGGAGTCTCCTCCAGGCTTCCTGGGCAGCGAGAACGGCAGAGAAGGGATGAGGAAGGAGAAAGGCTGTGGAGGAGAAAGCAGACTTGTTCTCTTGGATAAAGTTGGGAATGATGAGTATTCAGACAGGGAAGAGGGATATCTTCCCGTCCCAGAAGGATCAGGTTTCTGCTCTGCCCTAAGAAAACACGACCAAAACGTTTTGTTCTGGGTGGTTTGAAAGCGTTAAAATGATGAGTGAATTCAGGGAAAGAGGAACAGTAAAGCCCATCCTCTCCCCATTCTGTTTCTCAGCTTCATCCCATCCCTAAAGCCTCACTGGTATCCCGATGCCCTCAAATCCTCTGGGGAGACCAAGGACCAAATTCCTTCTTTGCCTTTACCCTCCCTCCCCTGCCTTGGCTGAGCACCTCCAGCTTCCCACAAGGACTTTTTTTTGGCTGGTTTTGACTTTTTTGTTTCCTTTTGCATAAACTGAGTGCAGAATTTAAGCTCAAGAGCAATTAGGGGGGAAGGCATCCAAGCATTGCTACCCTGGGTGCCATTCCCTACAGGGTCATCATAATTTACAGCAGATAAAATATGATGTTTGGAGTGTGATGTCAACCCTCTGAATGATTGTTCTTCCCCCTGTCCCTTAAACATTCCACTCCAAGGAAACAAGTGTGTGGAATGAAATCCAAACAGCTCAGATTGCCTGTTTGATGCTGGGATGGAGCCATTCAGCTCCAGTGGGATCTGCATCTCCGGGGCTGGGAAGTGCAGCAGCAGGTTGGGACATCTCTGGGTTGGGTGGTCTACCTCTACATGGAGTAGGTAACAGCAGGGAGAGTTAATCCAGGGAACAAACCAAAAACTTGAGGAAACAAATATATTTGGGTTGAAAAAAAAGCTTCAGAAAAATCAAAGAGAAGAAAAAAAAAATGGGTTGAAGACAAGCAGAGGGATTTTCTTTGCCTCGGGACAATGTGTGTGTCTTTGCCCCAGCTCTATTTCAGGGGTTTGTATCCTCTACTTACATTCATTTTTAAATTAAGAAAAAATAAGAATAATTAAAAGGGCAAAAGTCAAACTGTTGTTTTTTTTAATCAGCAGCTTGTCAAGATGCCTGAAATAAAATATTTCATTAAAAGAAAGCCAAAAAGGCGAGAGAAAAGAGCTCAGAAGTTTCTCCAAGGGTGAAAGTTTGACCCAACTCTTCCCACACCCCTAAAACATCAACACCCACCGACTGTACTCCCAGAAAAAGCTGCATGGAGACCACAGTTTTTCCAAACATCCATCCCTGGGATGGGATCTGGCTGGTGGGGTCACCACCAGGATGGACACCCAGTGGCCCCCAGATCCTGCTCCTTAGTGCATATGGTTCTTCCAAGTGCAAACCTCCACCCAAGCTGAGGTTTGCAGTGTCCTCGTGGTGAGTGACGACCAAGGCATTTTAGGAAGGGCCCAGGACATCACCTCTGCTTGGTTTTGGGATAAACCTGGAGGAAGTCCCCTGTCCCAGAGCAGGGAGTGACTCCTTCACGCTCCAGATCTGGCAGCTGGGAGGGACCCCACTCCGTGCAGGGATAACATCTGCATCTTGTCTCCCTTGTTTATCAGGGAGTTTACTCCAGAAAATCTAATCATCATTTTGGAGTTAATCCCTCTATCAAACCCTTACAAATCCCTTCATCCAGAAGTTTATTAATATTAGCTCCTCTCAAGCAGAAGCAAATAAGCGCCTTTACCTCCCATTTGGCTTTTTGTTCCCCTTCTCTCACCGCTGTTAACGGGAGCAATTCAATTAAGGAACAAACGACTTCCCAATAAAAATCCTTCCTCTCTGCCTCCCTCCTCCTTTCATTCAAGGACTAATAACGTTTAACTGGGGAAATGAGCTTGGCTGGAGGTGCTGGGGGGAACACAAGCCCTGGCAAGCGCAGCCCCCACGGGCTCGGGGCAGAACGGCTCAGCTCGTCCCAGGGAAGGGGGATGCTTGGTTAGAAATTCCCAAAACTCCCTGATTTGCCAGGGGAAGATCTCCCAGCCCCGAAGTGGCTGTCCCAGTGCCCATCCCGTTTGAGCACAATGGTCCATGGAACGGAGAACCCTTAAAGGCTGCACCAAATCGGGACTGTGGATGGCCGGGAACGCTCTCCAGCTGCCCCATGTCTTGCTGATGCTCCAAAAATCCCCGAGATTTCCTTCATCTTGATGCAAACCGTATGCATTCCAGCAAGAACCGCTGCAGATCCACAAGGATGCGGGGGTGAACCCAGCACCAGCAGCACTGGCTGCAGCAGAAGGCTCAGGACCCACATCCAGCACCAGGGAGAGGGGGACAAAAACAGCAACGAAGTTTGAAAACAGGGCAATAACTACGGATGCAGCTTGCACTCTGCACGCAAAAAGCCTCCTCCAAGGGGGCTCCAGGGGGTCCGAGCCCCTCTCAAAGGGGTCCAGTCAGCCTCTGCTGACTCCACCTCCCAGCTCCGTTCCGCAGGCGCGGTCCCTGCGGAGCAGCGCTGGAAGGGGAGGCTCAGCTCGCACAGGGAGCGGTGCCGCCCGTCAGCTCCGCTCCATCGCAAAGGCCACGGCATTTCCCGGCTGTCACAAAGCATTTGTTCGGTGCTGCGCCCCCCCCTCCACCTCCTGCGGTGACAGAGCTCTTCGCTAAAACCCGGGGTGAGCCTGGGAAAGGAGGTCGGATCGCTCCATCCATCCCGGGCTCTCTCTGCGCGCTCGGCTTGGACCCGTCTGCGTCAGTGGCAGGAGGACACGATGGACCAGGGATGCTCAGCCACGAGCTGAGGTGCCACCTGCAAGGAGAAGACACGTGAGCAGGGACAGGGCACAGGAAAGGCATCAGCCTGGGAGAGCTCCCTGCTTGTACCCTTTAATTCCCCAAACCTCCTGCTAGAGTTGAGGGGCAGCCAGAGGAGTGACCCCCCCTCCCTTTCCAAGCTCTGCCTTTGCCATTCCCATTCCAGCTGAGACCTGAAGGGCTTTACCACACCCTCTCCAGTACTGGAACTCTAACGCTGGCAAGAAAAATTCATGACATGGTCTGAGGTGACCTCCTGCCACACTCCACTCACATTTCACCCCAGGGTCTGCCCGGTGGCTCAGCATGGAGAGCATCCCCGTGCTTTCACACATTTTCCCATGGTTTTCCTTCCAAAACATCCCCTTTCCCAGCTCTCAGAGCCATTCTCGGTGCTCTCCTGCCTTGCCCCGGGATGTGTTGAGCAGCATCCCCTGCCCCGACTGCCAGCACGGGAGGATGAGGGACGGGCACCCGCCTCGCTGGTGGCCACATTCCAGCAGTGGGAGAAGTGCTACGGGAATCCCTTTGGGAAGAAATGTCCTGGTGAAATGTCAGTGGGAGTTATCATAATGGGAGAGACGGGTTTGTCGAGCAGAGGACGGTTCAGATCAGGACAGATGCCTGCGGGTGTTTGACAAGAGCTTTCAACCCAAGGAAAGCTCTGGCCCCAGCCTCAGGACCCTTCCCGGGTGGACTTTGGGCTGGCAGAGGGATGGGGTGGTACTGCCAGCAAGGAAAGGGCTGTGGGGTGCTCCGGCAAGGGTCATGTCGCCCGGACTGACCTATTTTGGGGCAGCAAGGAAAGCAGAGTCACACAGCTCCAACTCAGTCTTATTAACCTTGGACCAGGCTTCTTCTTGGAGCAGCTGGAAAGCCTCCAAGACAGGGCTGCAGCAAGGGCAGAGCTGCTTGGAAAAGATTTCCAGGAAGCAAAGCAGATGAGCAGAAGAAAGGTTTTGTTTCCTCTCTCTGCTTCTTGAGGCCCCCCAGGAGACATGTTCTCAGCAGTCACATCGTCACCAGGACCTGGGCCTGGGTCTCCTCCAGATCCATGTTCCTTCCAGACTGTGAAGTTTATGGGGTTACCCACGGGCAGAGGGGTCCCACCTTTATCCCATCAGAGTCAGCACATCTAGCCCATATTCCCTGCAAGCTGGGCCTCACCTTAGGACGGTCAAAGAGGTGGAGCCCCAAGTGTGGTCGTCCAGGCATCATCTGCAGGGGGGTCATCCCCTGAGGAATGACAAAAGTGACAGTGGTACCCATGGGAGATTGGGAAAGGGGTTACCTCACCTCCAGAGGCTGAAAATAGGAAAAAATTTTCCATCTGCATCAACATTTTCTTCTCCCATGCAAGGAGAAGACACCAAGCTGCCCCACGGGGCTTCTAATACAGCCTTTGCCCCTCCTTTGGCTTCGCTGAAGGGGTGGCTGCTCATTAGTGAGCGCCACTAATTAAGAGGAATGAGCCCAGTCTGCAAAAGCAGAGTTAAGAGGCTCCACTTGCTCCCCTCTGCAGCTGGGAACAGCTTTGGAGGGGATTATTCAGCCACTAGACCACGGTGAGGGCAGTAAGTATTGGACATGAGTAAGTCCCACCTGGGAAGAAGCAGCTCCTCTGGGTCTCACAGGCACTTTCAGACCCAGATCACAGAATTCCAGCAGAAATCCTGCTTTCTTTTTCCATGACACAGCGAAAGAAAAGCTCAGTTGAAAGTCTTTCCAAACCTTGACGTGCCTGCCTTTGATTTCTTCAAAACAAAATGAGGTTTCCACAAATAAATTAATTTCTTTTCAACAAGATGTTTTTCCTGGCAGGTCCTCTGACACCTGCTGACCCAAAAGGGAAACTTGAGACATTATTTATTTTTTTTCCCCCCTAATAAAGATACAGTTCACATTGACCCAAATTTTGAGCTTTGCTGTTTGTTGTTAGTTTTGCCTCCGGACAGCGAATGGAAGAAGCAGCTGCTCTCCCATCACCAGGGGACACCAAACTGATGCATGATGAGGAATATTATGAGACATCCAGGTGGGATCAGCAATTCCCACACCTCTGGAGGCGGCCAAGAGGAGATGTGGAAGCTTGCAAGCACAAAATAAGAGTGAGGAGATGTTCTTCCTGGCTTTAAGAACTCATTGCTGGCTTTCAGCACGTCCTGGCACAGGGATGCTGGAGGCTGAATCCAGACCACGAGGCTTAAAATCCCCTGGAAACCTCTTCTCCACGAGCTGGTGAAGCCCAGTTTGTCCTCCAGAGCATCCTGCAGCAAGAAGTCCCATGAGTGAACATCCCACTGCAACGAAAAAAAAAGAAAAAAAGAAAATCAGGCGATTTGGAGTGTTTTGATTAAATTAAAAGACATGAACCAAATTACACAGGACAAGCTTTGCCTGGAATCTGCCAGGGAGCTTGGCAAGACCTGGCTTGCCCGTGGAAATGGAGAAGGAGGAGAAAGCTGAGCCACCAGCGGTTCCTTGGAGCTCTTGGTTTCACCTTTAATGTATTTCAGTGCATGATTCAAGCACATTATCTGCATGAAATGCTGCATTAGCATCAAAATGAGGGGAGTTCTGTTCGATATATTAAAGTGGCTCTGATGGGTTTGAAGGGAGCTTAGCGCAGGAGAGGCATTAAGGAAGTAAATGCCACATTTGTATTCAAAAGAGCTTTCTTTTTTTTTTCATTTAAAGCCATTGATCTAAGAAGTGGTGCTTAAGACGGGCTTATAAAAGCGGGAGTGCATCTTCCCTGGGAGACAAAACGCTGTGTTTATGGGGAGTGGGAAAGGGAAGCAGAGAGCCCATTTGGAAAATATATGGCACTGGGGGTTTGGCACATCACCCTGAGGAGCCAAGGGCAGGGAGGGACAGGGCCTTCAGGTGCCACCACCATTCCCTTCCTAATATGTCCTACATGATGCCTTTTTTTGGCTCAAGTCTGGAATTAAAAATGGCTTGTCCAGCCTGGCGACGCCCATCATGTTTTTTCCCCGGTGAACACCCGGTTTGCCTTTTTCTGCTAAATTTCAAGGAAAAAAATTATCTTATTTAAGCGTTTTAATTTTTTTTTTTTAATTAGGGTGATTTTCTTAATTAGGAGGGTTTTTTAAAAAAAAATTAGGAATTATTTTTTTTAAAAATTAAAATTTCTGCCTGACAAAACAGCTTCGGACTTTTCATTGGGACATCAAAAGTCGAAGTCGCGTCAAAGCAAACGTCACTGGCGTCGCCACCAGGACAATTTCCACGGTCCTCTTCACCAAGAATTTTAAAAAATGGTAATTCTGCTTCAGAATATTCTTTATATCTTTACGCCACCGAGCTAGAAAAAGTCTCTTTTGTAGCTGGTTCTGAGAAAAGAATATTTTCCCCAAAATCAGGCTCCGCGCCGCGGTCCTGTTTAAACCACGATGAATTTTTCTTGCTCTGTTAATGCAAGGCAAGGAGCATTTTAGCTAAAAACACCAGGATTTCTGCTGAATTTGGGAGATCAAACTGGTTTAGTTTCATTATCTGAAGCAAACAGAAACTGCCCTGAAAGCTCGGGGCGAGCGTTAACTGCCTTCATCCATCTTTGCCACCTCCAATGGCAATTAATAGTCCCTTGTCTTTCCAAACAGAGAAAGCAAGGGGTTAAATTAATTGCTTCTGACCACTTAATGAATCAGGGAGAGACCCTGGGAAGCTCCTCTTGCCTCTGCCTGCAAATCAGCCAGAGGAAAAATACACTTTTCTTGGCTGAGATGCATTGCTTATGGAAATATTTATGCCTTGGAGCAGCCACGGGTGTGACACCCTCCAGACTTGGAGCTGCTGGAGGTTGGTCACCCTGTGGAATTCCACCACGTGTGGCCCTCGGGGTGAATTAAATAAATCAGAATATTCCTCCAATGGGAGCTGTGAGCAGCACTGGGAGATTTTTGGGGATGTCCAGCCCAGAGCACAGCAGGACATGCACCAGGACCTCCAGTGGCACGGTACCAACCTGTCATCGATGTCATCCCTCCCTGGAGGGCCGTGCCGAGGAGGAGACACACCAAGGAAAAGCTGGACATCCTACAGGCCTTAAAAAATTAACAGTCCCTTCCTGCCAACGGCACTGAAGCCCAGCCTGAAGGATGTGGCTTTTGTCACTCAGCCTTCCTCCCTGCTCCGTGCTCTTCCTCTGTCACCCTACAAAGCAAACCTGGGTGGCTTGGAGACATTCCAGCGCTCCCTGCCTTTCCACCCAGCTGTCCCAGGGGCACGCAGCCCCTGGAGCACCCCCCAAGCCCACCCATGAGGATGGGGCTGTTGGCTGGAAGAGCATTCCTGAATTTTGGGGGGGAGAGGGGGAGGGTGGCAGACGCTGCTCCCGCCCAGATATCTCCCACTCCCAATTTTCTTTCCCATCACAGCTTGTTTTCTCCCTCCTCCCCAGAGCAGGTTGTCATGTCACAGAAGAAGGGAAGGAAACAATGCGGAGGAAATTGATAAGCATGGCTTGAAAGCCAGAGAAAGGGAACATTTGCCTGGGAGAAGCTGTGATTAGATCCGTGTGTGTGTCCTCTGCCAGCACTCCTAAAAATAGAGCTTGGCTGCACAGACTGTCACACGCATGCAGACATGCTCTCGCTGGAGCTATATTTACCAGCCTTGGAGACAGCCAGATTCCCAGGAACGAGCCGTACGTCCCCCCGGGACCGCCACGGAGGGGTCACACGGCCAGGAAGGGACCACAGGGGTGAGGAAGGACCTCCCCAAGCATCCCTGGGAGCTGGGGGGCACGGAGAGACGTGGGTGGGGAGCACCAAAATGGGGAGCTTCGTTTCTGGAAGATCCTGGAGAACATCTGGAAAAGCAAATCTCTTGATTTGGAGAGACACACGTGGGACAAACAGAGGCCACCCAGACGGCCACACGCTCGTGGTCCCACCCCTCAGCATGGAAGCAGCCCTCAAAAGGGATACTTATCCTCCAACCTCTCTTCCCACATTGACCCGAAATCCCAGCTTTCGTGGCCAAGTCTTCCAAGCCCAACATCTGGCCAGCACCAATATCTACATCCATGGGCTGAAGAAGGTTCTCAGCGAGCTCCAGCCCTTCTCCACTGGTGAGACCACGGCTTGATGCCATCAGCCATGGCGCTGCACTCCTGGATCCGGGCATGAAGAGGTTTGGGAGGAGGAAGGTCCCACAGCTGCTTGTTGGAGAAAGAAAAACTGGAGCATGACCTACATCGCCCGCTGGAAAGAGGCTCCTCCGCCCCCCGCCGCGCTCGTTGGCCTCGTGATAGAGCGGGGAGTGTTTAAAGGGACAAAATTGAGGCATTTGAGTCATATTCATGAGGTTTCTGAAGAGGATGTTTGAAGACCGAGGTATTATTATCCACATATGTCTTCCCAGAGGTTGCGTGCAATTAGCATTATTCACAGATACGCAATTAGCATTAGCCAGAGATATGTATTTCGGGTGGGAAAATAAGTGTTTTTCTTCCCGGAGAAGTTGTTTTGTGCGCAGTTTGCTGGGCTCGGAGTGCTTTGGTCCGACTGGAAATTGGAGAAGAGCCATTTGCCCCGGTTTGCCCCTGGAAATGGAGAGGCCAGCAGCAAAGGGTGCTTCTGCAACTGCGGTTTTTTGGATGAGCTAGAAGTGTCTGCAGAGCCAGTGGGCACCTACACAACCAGCTGGCCCATTGCCACCTGCGGCGTCATTCCCTGGGGACCAACAGCACATCCCCAGCAGCTCTGCCTTCCATCTGCCCAGCACAGAGCGTCCACCCCAACTCCGTGCCATCTCCTGGAAAATGAGTCTTGTCTCCAGATCCAGGACCTGAGCCATGGCTTTGGTTGCAAACCTTCCCCTCTGATGCCTGGAGATGATGCTTGGTTGCAGGTGGGGGAGCAGGGTGGTATCTCCAAGGGTGGGTTTGTTTCCGTGGCCTCCCAGCAAAGCAGAAACCTTCCCCCACAGGAAGGGCAGCAGGTGCTGCTATGACCCACCTTCATTTTGCAACTCAAATACCCTCTGTTTAACCACCTGGACGTAATATCACCTCGTGAAATGTCATTACCAGAGGGCAAGAGGTGAGTTCCACCCCACCTCGGAAATGCAGGAGCGTGGAGCACCTCGTTCTGTGACCCCAGACACCCGAACCCACACGCTCAGAGCTCCTGGAGTCACCAACCTCGGAGGAAAACGTGGAAGGTGGCACAGGAGAGACTCTCCAAGAGTGAAGGATTGAATAGGTTCCCTGCATCAACAGCCACATGTTTTGATAGGAAGCTGCAGCACCCTAAATCATGCCAATAAACACTAAGACATCCAGCTTTGATTCAGCTTGGTGAAGAGCTGGGCTGTCTGTAAAGAGGTGGTTCGTAAACCAGGAAGTTGAGGGTCACTTAGTAGGGGCAGCTCCATAAATCCAATCCTTTCTTCTCTCTAGCTTGAAGTTTAAAAGCCCAGGAAAGAGCAAGGTCTAGACCTAAAGAGATGCTCAACCACCTGCAGGAGGTGTCCTCGGCATGAGGACTCCAGACAATCCTTCACTCACAACCACACTGTAAATTCCACTCATCTTGCTCCAGGTGGATCCTCCCTCCATCGGTCACCGTATCCATAGGGTCCTTTGGACTGAATCCCACTGGTCTCTGGAGACACCAGTGCTCTCAGGAGCAGAATAAATCTGGCACGTGATGCTTCACAGAGCTTGTCAGACAAGGTGGAGGGTGTTGGGTTGGTGGCTTAAAGTTCCTTGAAGGCACCAGGTGCTTGGAGCTGGGTATAACAGGTGACCTGCGCTGAGATGGGACTGCAGAACACAGCTCAGGAGGCCCCCACCCGTCCTCCCAAATCCATGCAATGCTGTGGGAGCTCTCATTCCCAAATCCTCCTCCCATCCTCCCAGGAGGCAGGTTAACCTAAGGACACAAGGACACATCACAAAGGTAGACAGGGACTAACGGTCAAGCCAAGAGCAGATCCCAATTCCCTGATCCCACCGTGGGCTCCAAGAGCAGCCAGGCCTCACCACACACCCAGCCCAGCTTCCCAGCTCAAAGGGACCACAGGGACCACCACAAAGTCCTGCTTTTTCCTTCAGAAAGAGCCAAACTCTGCAAAATCACGTCATTTGTCACCAGCAGCTCTTGCTCCAGGGCATCCCATGCCAGCTGGCTCCGTGCTGTGCCAGTCCCCAGTGTCACTCCCTGCTCTTCCTTGCTGCAGCCAGGGACCTTTACAAATAAATAATGTTCTCCTCCAATCTGCTGGAGCAAGCTGGTCTCCTCCGTGCCTCTGGGGAGGGTGGCAGATGAGGAAGGGTTGAGGATCTGCAGGGAAAACACCTGCCTGTGGCCCAGAAATGCTTCTAAAAAGCAAAGAGATTGCCTCGGTGCTCTAAAAATATCTGAAATTCAGAAATTTGACACTGCATCTATCGAGAAACCAGCACCAGCTTCCAAAACATCTCAGCAATGACAGGAGAGGTGCAAAGGAGCCCAGAGCATCATGTTAATGGCATGAAGACATCCAGGAGCTGGTGGCCTGGGGTGAAGGGTGGTTTGCAGTGGGTGGAGACCAGAACAAGCACCAGGACAAGTTCACAGAGGAATTGTTCACTTGCAGGCAGCTCTGGGCTGCAGGGAGACAGCCCTGCCTCCCTCCTCAGGGCTGTCAAACCCCTTCATTTCCCCAGCAAGAGCTTTGCTTCAGCACAAGCCTCGAGCAGAGGCACAAGTGGGCTCTGGAGCTAATGTACAAATTATCACAGAATACACCGAGCTGGAAGGGACCCAAAAGGATCATCCAGTCCAACCCTCAGTCCTGCACAGGACCATCCCCAACAGTCACACCAGGTGCCCCAGAGGATCATCCAAACACTCTTTGAGCTCTGGCAGCCTTGGTGCTGTGCCCACTGCCCTGGGGAGCCTGTTCAGTGCCCGATCACCCTCTGGGGGAAGAATCTTTTCCTCATATCCAACCTAAATCTCCTCTGACACAACTTCAGACCATTCCCCAGGGTCCTGTCCCTGGTCCCCACAGAGCAGAGATCAGTGCCTGCCCCTCCTCTTCCCCTCATGAGGAAGTTGTAACTGCTGTGAGGTCTCCCCTCAGTCTCTTCTTCTCCAGCTGAACACACCAAGTGCCCTCAGTGTCCTCCACTGGGCTTCAAATCAAGGTCCTTCCCCATCCTTTTTGCCCTCCTTTGGACACTCTCTAGTGACTTCATGTCTTTCTTATGTCGCAGTGCCCAAAACTGCCACAATATTCAAAGTGCAAAACCCCTTCCCCCCAGCCCTGGCTATGGAACACAGGAAAATAACAAAAAATCCCTTTGGGATGGGATTGCACAGCATCCTTGTCTGCAAGGGCAGGGTGAGGCTCCCCCAGGCCCTTGGCCAGCACAACACTTTCCCAGCACCATTGCTGAGACGGGAAGATGCAAAACTCTCTGGGTGGGAAGGAGCCCATCAGGACAAGAGGACATTGTCTCAAGCTGTGCAGGGGACGTTTAGGTTGGACATCAGGAAGAATTTCTTCACAGAAAGGGTGATTAGACATTGGAATGGGCTGCCCAGGGAGGGGGTGGCATCACTGCCCCTGGTGGCATTCAAGGAAGACTGGATGTGGCACTGGGTGCCGTGGGCTGGTTGGCATGGTGGTGTTGGGTCATGGGTTGGACTCAGTCTCCAAGGTCTCATTGATTCTGCAAGCCAAAGCTGAGGAACCAATGCTAAAAAAGCCCAAATCACAGGGTGCAGGTCCTCTTCCTTAACTAAAAGACTCTGGGATGAGCTCTGGGGCAGCATTCCTGGGGCACAGTGACCACAGTTCCCTCTGTAGCTTTTCTAACTCTGAGAATGACCATCTGATGCAGATCATCCCTAAGGATCTGGAGTCACAGGTGGACACCTGCAATCAGTGCAAAACAAGCTCAGATTCACCAAGTCTGAAAGGAGAAACCTGCTACCAGGGCTTCGGTGTTGAACCGCAGAGCAGGGATGTCCCAACAAATCCTGTATATGTGAGCAATAGAAACAGAATTATTCAAATTATTAGAGGAGCAATCTCCAAGAGCAGAGTGTAACATTCAGCTGGTAACATTCAGCACCCACTTTTCACAACAAGATGTAAATCCTGCTTCAAACAAGATGTTCCAGAGAGGAAGCCGAGATGAGAAAGTACAGGGGGACACATCAATTACAAATTGTCAAGAAAAATCAGTAGCTGGGT